TAAGTAATGATCTTTGATAACACTTCATATTATATAGAACTATAATACTAACTTTGAAACAGAACTTATATACATTGATTACAACTGAAAATCAGGCAAAACTACATACTTATAAAACTGAATTTGACTGCTATCTTCAAGATGATTCAATGAATTTATACATCAAATCAATTCTAGAGTTATGAAAAATTGTTGAGAGTACATATTCAACTGTTGCACTGATGATATGTGATATTCTGATAATTTCATTGACAGGGGTGAGAATGAAGTGAAAGTTCAACTCAAGTTAAGATATTTATCACTATCATCAGAGACAATTACAAGGAGAAACAATCAAGAAACTCATGATTATAAAACATGGAATTATCAGACAGTTTAATACCTCTGATCACAGTATATCAGAGAAGTGTAGTTTTCATGAGAAAGTGAAGAATAAACTTATACAAGAATGTATTTAGTTATTTCATGAGCATTATCAATAATCATTATCAAATTCTGATTATATAAGCAATCACTGAATGAACTGAATGAGACTGATTTTAATCTTCAGTCTCAGTCTCATTCTGATTTTGAAAGAATGATCATCTTTCACAGTTTATCCTGAGAAATTACTCTTATTTCACTGTTCTTGAATTAAATCTGGTCATTTTTCACATCATTTCTCTCAGAAATAGTTCATTTTCAGATTTTTTTGAGGCTTGGTCCTGGTGAGACTCACGTCAAGAAATGTATGAGACCAGATCAAATGAAACCAAATGTGAAATTCATGGTCCCGCCGGCCAGTCTACAATTACTTATAATCTAAGTGATCAGTTATATATAAATCATGCATCTCTTATATTATCTGAGTGTGTAAGATTTCAGAGTAAGAGACTTAACATCATTTATAGAATCACAGAGTATTATTATCATTCATTGAGTATTCTGAAATGTTAGTTCTTATATATAGTTCTGAGAGAAATCAGAGTGCTTCTTAATATACTACTTCAGTGAGTACTTGAAGAAGTTTATTAATTTAAGCTATTATATACTATAATTCATTCAGTGTAGATTTAAGAGAAGTTGAGATATCAGTATTAGTATCAGTGTCAGTGTCAGTGTCAGTATCAGTATCAGTGATAGTTCAGAGAGAGAGTGTTCTAATCAGAGAAGTATATATAGTGTTATAAATTGTTTCATCTTGATCAACTAATATCTTCAGATCTAGAAGTTAGTGTTCTCAGTTCATTCAATAAGTGTCTATTACATTGAAAGACATATCTTGCTCTTATTCTAAGAGAGCATCTGTCATCAAGTTCTAGCTATTAGAATGATAGTGTATAGTGAAATGAAAACAGCTTAATAACTCAGATTATTACATCTGATGTTCAGTAAGCTTATAAGTAATTATAAAATACTTGAGATTCTTATAATCTGTGATTATCTCAAATTTAAAGACACTTTAAAGTTTAGAATCTCATTCTTCTAGAAAGTGTATAATTGTAAGAAGTTTCTTATTATAGATCTCATAATTGCATTCAGTTAGACTTAGTTTCTTAAATATAAAAGTGCATGATTATAAGACATCTTTATTATCATATTATAATATAGCTTCTTCTATAACATAGTGTAAGAGACCTACACCGAATAGATCAGTATAATATATAGGTCTTATATAACAAAGTGAAAAATATTAGAGAAGGAAAGAAAGAGAAAGTGTGAGAATCAGTGATTGAAGTGAGTATTTATATGTGTATACAGTGAAGCTTCAGGGCAGAAGAATAGGAATTTTATGAGTTTTTCAGCTGAGAATCAGCAACTGAGAATTGAAGCTTATAATGAAATCTGTGAAGTGTAATGAAATAGTCTATATGATTGATTGAGCACAGTCTGCCACATTAGCCTCTTCTTTTCACAAGTGATATAGAGTCGCGGGCGCGTAGTTTCCATTGATCAAGAGCTGCTGTCTCAGATAACACAGAGCTCAGAGTTCAGGTTAAGTGATCATAGCTGACTCATTTCACAAGATATTATTAGCCACGGCCGCAGAGTCTCTTATCAAGAATATCTTCAATCTCTTATTCAAGTTCATTATCTTCTTCTATGATCTCTGACAGCTGTTAGTCAGAAGTCAGTTGATAAGAGAATGAATTGATAATAGTGCAGCAGAGCAAGCTTGTATGAAAGACATTATAAATCTCTGATAATGTGTTAAGACAGTAGTTGTGACTATCTAGAACTTCTATCACTTTATACTTGACATGGTGATCATCTAGCATACAAGATAGATATGTGATTTGTATGTTCTTAAGATTCAATCATATCAGATCTTCTATCTTATATTGCTCAGTGAGATCTTGATAAACATTAATTCAGTTCTCTTGATCTTGTTTAGTGCTTGTCATGAAGGCTTCTGCTCAGTCATGAGTGTCTCAGAGCTTTATTATTATATTATCAGCAATCTAAATCAGACTGCAGAGAGTCAGTGTGAACTGTATAATCTTTAGAAGATTTAACACTTTCATGTGATAACTGTGTATAAGAAAGAACAGGCTTATATCTGTTGAAATAGCATCTCAATCATTGATAGTAATCTCTGTATATAGAAGAAGATTATATTAATCATCTTATAAGTGATTATAGAACTTATGAAGATAATTCTTTACAGTCTGAATTATCTATTCTGATGCATTATCAGTTTCAGAGTGATAAATAAGTGATAAATGATATATAATCTTAAGAACTTGATAGATTCTTGTTCAGAAAGTGCTCCTGAATTGACAGCTCTGATCTGATACTATGAATCTCAGCAATTCATATATCTGATAGAATGAGCTCTGTAGAAAAGCTTCAGCAACTTATTCAGTATTTATCTTATTATAAGATTTTAATATTACACTCTTACTCAATTAGTTCATGATGATCAGAATGTTTCTATAACTCTTACTCTCAGAGAGATTAATAGTGAAGTTAATTATCATATTTTATCAGATTCTATCAGAGATATTAAGTGATTTCAGCAGATCTTTTCTACAGTTCTTTCATAAGATGATGAAGAAACAACAGTTACAGTTTCAGATGAAATGTCTGATACTGTTCAATATCTTAGGTCAGTAGAACTCTTAAGAGATCATTTAATACAGTTATTTATAATCTGAATAATCAGTTATATAAGAATCATGCATCTCTTGCATTATCTGAGTGTGTAAGAGTTTGAAATGAGAAATCTAACATTGTTTACAGAATTGCAGAGTGTTATTGTCATTGATTAAGCATTCTGAGATATTGATTCTTATACATAGTTCTGAGAGAAATCAGAGTGCTTCTTGATATACTGCTTCAGTGAGTGTTTGAAGAAGTTTATCAGTTTGAGCTGTTATATGTCACAATTCATTCAGTGTAGAAGAAGTGAAGATATCAGTGTTAGTATCAGTTCAGAGAGAAGATGTTCTAATCAGAGAAGTGTATATAGTGTCATGAGTTATTTTATCTTGATTAATTAATATCTTTGAATCTAAGAGCTGATGTTCTTGATTCATTCAACAGGTGTCTGTTACATTGAAAGGCATATCTTACTCTTATTATAAGAGAGCATCTGTCATTGAGTTCTGACTGTCAGAATGATAGTGTATTGTAAAATGAAAGTAGCTTAAGAACTCAGATCATCACATCTGTTATTCAGTGAGTTTATGAATAGTAATAAAGTACTTGAGATTCTTGTAATCTGTAATTATCTTAAATTCAGAGACACTTCAGAGTTCAGAGTCTCATTCTTCTAGATAGTGTATAATTGTGAGAAGTTTCTTATCATAGATCTTATAATTATATTCAGCAGAACTCAGTTTCTTAGACATGAAGATACATGATTATAAGATACTTTTATCATCATATTACAATATTGCTTCTTCTATGATATAGTCAGAGAAATCAGCTTTAACAACTATCTTATAATCAGAATTGAATATTATCAGCAGAGAGATATTAATGAATATCTTCTTCATTTATATAAATACAGCTTCAGTTTCTGCTGATCATTGAAATACTGAGTCTTTCTTAGTAAGTTCTGTAAGTAATTTCATGATATCTGAGAAGTTCTGTATAAATTGCTGATAGAAGTTAGTGAATCTGATAAAGCTTTATACATCTTTCACAGTGTATGAGACCTTTTATTCAAGAATAGTAGAGATCTTCTCAGAATTCATTCAGATTCTCTTACCAGCTTCTATGATAAAGCCTAGATATTTTATACTTTTAATCTTAAAATCACACTTATCTATGTCTATCTGTGATTCAAAGGTTGCTTGAGCCAGCGTACGATTACAGGCGTACGCCGGCTTCTTATATACTGTACACTAAATTAATTGGTGGCTGCTATGACTTCTTTACATTCATAAGCAAGTTCAGAAGCGGCTGCATTATTATCTGATAATTGTATATTCTTCTGAATTACATTCTCTCTCATCAGATTCAGTCACGCTAACATGACCATGTTGTATGCCCTAGCTTCATGCAGATTAGCTTGTCACTAGTATTTCATAATTATGTAATCTATCTCTGATTCAGCTAGTGTTCTGTATACACTCTCACAAAGAAACTTTTACTATATTACACTTCTCATTCACTAACTTTTTCCATTCTTCAATCATCTTCTTCATCATTGTCATCATTGAATGCTATTATCTTCTTCAAGATTTCTACTTCTTCTTCTGTTCAACTCTTTCTATCTGTTCATCTATTACATTGTATACATTTCTGGCAATGACTCTCTGTTCTCACAATAAGTGTTATTGTAGTACTCATATCAGGCAGTTCATTAGCAGTAAGTGTAATATGTTATGAAATATGATCAGGACTTGTTTATCTTCTAATAATTGTCAGAATGTATTATCATGAATAGCATATCTTCTTCATCTTCTTGTATATTCTTAACTGTTTTTTCTTCTCAGTGAGCTTCTGATTGTGTTTTCTGACATGATTTTACATAGATGCAGATGCTGATATATTTGTTTTTATTTATATAGAATCTTCCTGTATTGACAGATCTGTATCTGCTGATAATAGTGAACTCAATATTGAATCATTGATTGAGAACTTAAAGAATGTGATAATGAAGAAATTGTCTGTATTATATGTGACTGAGTCTTTCATATCTTTTTCTGTCTCTTCTGTCACTTCTTTCTCTGCTACTCTCTTCTCTGTTCCTTTCTCTACTGCTTTCTCTCAATCTTCTACACTTGTCCCTGTGTCTGATTCTCCCGCTCTCACTACCTCTGTTTCTGTAACTCTCACTCTCACTACTTCTGCTTTCTCTGATTCTACTATCTCTGCTTTCATTATCAGCTCTCTCTGTTTCAAGAAGATGTTGTATAGACTTAATGAATTACATTTCTCAGTATGTATACTTCTGCTCTTTTTACTAATCTCTAGAATGATTTATTATATAAAGATAATATATAATATAACTATCTGAAGCTCAGTTATAGATATTAATTATTATATTTATTTTAAATATTTATAATGAGATAATTATTTATTTATATCAGAGAATCACTCTTTCTCTTAACAGTGTTAAGATTATAAGTCTTTTTCTTTTTCATCTTTTCTTTCTGACACTGATTTTTCTGTTCTTAGAAGAAATTATTATAAGTTTTATTATATATAAAGTTATGATATTCACAGATATCAAGAAACTTTTTATAACTATTAAATTTAATATTACAGATACATTCACTCTGATGAATATCTTTAAAATAATTAACTCATATCAGCCTATTCTCTGATATTTATCATTCAACTTTGTGATACAGATGAAGAATATCTGTGTTTTCAGAAATGAGAATATAAATGTTGTACTCTTTTACACTTATGAGTGTGAGACTTGTACATCTTGTCTGAGATATTGTTATAAAAATAAGCTATTTGCATACTGTGTTCTGCTTTCTGCATTCTCTCATATCTCTCTCTCTCTTTCTGAGAAGCCTCATGCATATTGTAATTATATGTATAATTTTAAGATCAGCAGATATTCATTCAGTAATTATTATTCCTGCTTTTTTACAGTTTTTATACACTAATAATAGTTCTTAGTTGCTCCAGCATCAGAGATCATTTTAATTGAAGATAATAACACTGCTGAGACTATCTCTTTCTGCTCTTAAGCTACTTCTATCACTTTCTCTTCCTTCTCTGTAGAGAAGGTTGTGTGTACACTGAATTACAAGTGTTCAGTTCTGAGTGACTTCTGCTGTTATTCATTCAGTTCTGCATCTTCTTCTTCTTCTATTTCTTTCATCTTCTCTACTCTGACTTCTGATCCTGTAGATTCTGCATTCTTCTTCAATTTTTCTATGCATATGTGTATGCATTTCTATATTGACATTTCAGTCAATCTTGTGATAAATGACATTAATATTTTATACAGAGTGATAGAGAAATCAGAGATATATACAGTGTTATTACAAGAGCAGCTTGCAGCTCTTAAATTCCTTGCAGATCTCAAGTTTTGAGATTTCCTTTGTTTTTAATGTTTTTCAGATGATGTGATATTGAAAATAGATTAAATATGTGATGTATGAAAATGAATGAGATGTATAATAATATTTGTCTTTTGCAGCTGATTCTTACAGTTGATGATCAATTCATTATCTCTTTTTCTTTTCTTACACTTTTTCTTTGTCTGCTAGTCACTACTCTTACATGATCTCTATATAATACAGCATTTGATGACTAGATTCAGCAGCTTTCATCTTTTATGATTCTGTCTCATACATTATACTGTCTCTCTTCACTCACTTAGACTACTACAGTGAACAGCTCATTGAAACTAACCTTGTCTGATCTCTGAGTATTCTCAGAGATTAAGATAACTTGATCTCACATATCTGTGAATATTTCAGATAATTCATTCTCTATTATCTCTGTAATTAAACTGATGTAAACAGTTGAATTTAACTCTGAATTTCTTTTTCTTCTGTAATCTGACTCACATACAAGTCTGCTGCTTTGAAACTGCTCCTTATCATATTATATCTGCTCTCTGCAGTGTGTTATCATATAACTGACTACAGTCTCATCACTTATTAAAGTGTGATATTCATCTGATTTCTTCATTTCTTCTTATTCTTTTCTTATAATTATGAAAAGATTGAAATAAGTGAGATCATCTGATTTATAAATATCTATAATTTCTCTTACTTCATAAGACTTTTCAATTATAAGTCTCTTCTTTTTCAACACTGATAATAGTGCTGTGAATAATTATAATCTACTCAGGTCTTGCATCTTTACTTTTATAAGATATGAATTATTTATTAAGTTGTGTAAGATCTGTCTCTCTGATTCTTTCAATGCATATATTCTCAGAGAATGTGATTTAAGTATTTTATATAACTCAAACCATCTAGGTTGAAACTTCTCAGAACTCTCATTATGTACAAGAACTTATATTTTCATCTTAAGACTTGATTTCTTAACTAGTGAGTCTCATATTCTTTTTGATTGAATTGCTTGATATTCAGGAGTAACTCATTAGCTTTTGTGTGTATGTGGCTGATCTCTTTCAATCTTGGTTCTGTGTCTGCAACTGCTGCATCTGCAACTGCTGTTTCTGCTGTGTCTGTGACTGTTGCACTCATGACTGTTGCATCTGCAACTACTGTTCTCTCTCTCATCTTTTCTGAAGCATTCTCTGAGATGCGCGGATGCAATTCATACAACAGATAGAATGATGAATGCTTGAAGACTGCATACTGTTGAATCCGCGTGACTAATAGTGCCTGTCTGAGATATTCATCTCATAGTCTCATAGACTTGCTCACTAGATATTTCATCAGCATGTTGCTCAAGATTTCATTCAAGTGTTTCATCTTCTCATTTATCTACAGATGATATGATGTTGTTCTACAATGTCTTGTCTGTAACTGGCTCATGAAATGCCTCATCACTTCTTCTATAAGATTTACACTGTTATCAGTTAGAATCTCACACAGCATTTCATAGTTAATATAGATCTTATTATATAGAAACTTCATCATCATCTTCTCTATTATCTCTGAAACTGCTTTCATAACTGGTCAGTTAGTAGTGTAATTAATAGCAGTGATTATTCATTGATTTTCATTTGATATTCACAGTAATATATCTATGAGATTTATCTCATTGTTTAAACAGTTGTATTATACACTTCATCTGATATTATACTTTCTTGTATTCTAACTCTTTCTTAGATTCTTTTATAATCTGATAATTTGAGCACTTGTAAGTATATGTCTGAATGTCCTCAGCTATGCTTGGCCAGTATACTCTTGATTTAAGTATGCTTATAAGTTCAGAGCTTTCTAAGTGACTGAATTCCTTGTGTATGTAAGTCATCAAGTTGTGTCTAAATGAATATTCTAGATAGAGAGCTTCTGCATATTCTAGATTATAATAAAGTATAACATTGTTTTTCAATTTTCTCAGCTTAAAGTTTGAAAGCATCTCTTCTATTACTTTCATAAGACACTTATTATCTAATATCTTATTATTTTTTAAGTGAGAGATCATTGTATTCACTCATTCTGATTCCTTGCATCTTCTCAGCATATTTAATACAAACTTTTCTTATTTCTGATTTACAGAACTCTCACTCATGAAATTGAGTCTGTGACTGATTGTATCAGATACTACAGCATTCAATCTCTTTCAGTATTTAATATGAAGATTGTATGCTTGAAACTCTGAGATTCAACATGCTAAGTGTTTAAAAGGTTTTATCATCAATTGTAGATAGATGAGGCTTTTATAATCTGTAATCATTATTGTTATATGTCTGTTATTGATATATCTATCTCATAATATCAGTGTGTACTTAATTGCTAGTAATTTCTTTTCATACACTGAATAATTGAGCTCAGTGTCTAATAGTTTTCTATTATTATACATCACTGAGTGCAGCTTGTCATTCTTGCTCATTTATAGAAGAGTATCTCTGATAGCTCATTCAGATATATCTATCTCAATGTAGAAAGATTTATCATAATCTGATTGAATAAGCACTGAGAATGTTGTTATACATTTTCTCAGTGTGAGAAAAGCCTCTTCATACACAGTATTTCAGATAATTGAATAAAACTTCTTCTTTTACAGATTTGTATTCATTTCTCTTAAGAGATCTGAGAGTGATACAGATATTCATGTGAAATCCTTGATAAATCTGCAGTAATATGAGATCAACTCAAGAAACTATTATACATAGTGTATATTTCTCATCTGTGATTAATTCACTATAACATTCAATTTCTTCAGAATGAGATATATATAGTTATTACTTACTATATATTCTATAAACTTCAACTCTTCTGTTTCAAACACACACTTTATTAATTTGATGTAGAGCTTATACTCTGTCAGAGTTATAAGCACTTCATTGAAGTGCTTCAGATATTTATTATATAAGTTTGAAAAGACTAGAATATTATCAAGATATATAAGATATAAGGTTTCATTCTGTTTATAAAGAATTGTATTCATCATCATTTGAAAGATAACAGACACATTTGTCAGACTGAATAATATTATCAGGAATTTGAACTTCTCTCATTATATATTAAATATAATTCACAGAACTGATAGTTTATCTATACAGATCTGCCAGTATTCTGAGAGAAGATTAATCTTTGATAGATATTAAGTGTTTTCAACTATATTCAACTGTTATTAAATCTGTGATAGTGAATATTCATTCTTAATTATAAGCTTATTGAGTGCTTGATACTTAATACATATTTATCACTTCTCATCTGTCTTTTTTGTGAATAGAACTGAAAAGCCTCACATACTTGATAAGAGTTGTATGAGATTATGTTCTAGAAGATCTGTGATCTGACACTTCTGTTCTTCAAGATATGTTTGTGACAGAGAGTATGCATTCTGATTGACTGGTTTCACATTCTCTGTGTCAATCTCATGTATGAATTCTCATTTCAGCAGCAATTCTGATAAAAGATCTATTTGAAAGATCTTTTTATACTTCTTCAGAAGCTTCTTCATACACTTATTCTCTTATATATTCTTTATCTTGATTTTCTTCACTTTCAGATTCTGTATAATATACAGAATGCTTTCAAATGAGATCTTGTAAATTATTCTCTTTGCTTATTAATATATAAGCAGATTTAATTCTTCTATATCAGAGATGTGAAATATTCTTCTCATATCAGTTGATAGAATTGTATGAACTGTTTTCTTTCTATCAGTCATTTGTATATGATATGTACATCATTGAATCTGTGAATTAAATCTTTGAAATTTATTAAGTCTGAGAATAAGGTTGTATTTCATGTTCTGCAGCTCTTGTGTCTAAATATAGTAAGATCATTCTCTGAAGTGCAAGAGAACTCTTACTCTTGTAAGTGATATCAAATATCAGTTATCAGATAATCTTATGTATTGAGAATTCTTCACTCAGTGAACCTCTTTCAGTCTTCAGATTATATAATTATCAATATATTATATAGAAGCTTCTGTGTTTACTAACACTTTTACAGTTATCTCTTAATTCTTACTTAAGTATCTCTTATACATTAACATTTTGAGTTTCAAGACATTGAGATGAGTATCTGCTTCATTCTCATCTACATCTCAGTCAGAAGCCTGCTTTCTCTTAATATTCACAGAATTCAGAGAGTCTTCTAACACAGACATCTCTTTCATTTTGAAGACTTTTCATGAAATATCAGTGAGTGTCTCTGAGCTCACTGATTCTGCTAGTTTTTTGACTCTCTTACTTCTCTTGACTGTATACACTGTGTGTAATCTTTTATATCATGATTTTGATATCTGCAGTTGAAGCAAGCTTAATACTTATAATATCAAGATTTTTATTCAGAGAATCTCTTTTT